TAGCGGCGGTTGTCGTGCCTCTCGCACGAGATGCTCTTGCTCCTGAGGCTCGGACACTCGCGCCGCTTTCCTCAGATTATCAGCAGACACCGGCCCCTCCACCTCCTTCCTCTTTGCGCCACTGGATGGCGCGTTGCTGGACTGGGCGCTCTCCTTCTTCTTTGCGCCGGTAGGTGGCGCGTTGCTGCTCTGCGCGCCCTCTTTCTTCTTCTTCTCCCCGCGCGGAGCTCGAGGAGTTTTCACGACGTCGTCCACCGACATCATGCTCACAAGGTTCGAGAAGTCAACACCTGCACCAATAAATCGTAAGAAGACGGTTAAATATGACAGAATGCAAAGGGAAAGAAACATAACTAACCATCGGCAAAGAGCTCCTCCAAACAGGCCTCGCGGACACCGCCCAAATATAAATTTATCTTTTGAAGCATGCACGCTTCATATTCCTCGTCAAGCCCGTCGTATGTGCCCAGATCTGACTCATATCCGAGCGTGCTGCCCTTTTTCCAAATAGTGGGCTCCGCCACATGCTCACTCGCCCACTCCCTTGACATCGGCTTAACATAGAAGAAGCACTCAAACCAAGTCTTCTTCAACTTCGGAGATCCATACACAAAGCCGTCAGGCCTCTTGTCGCGCCGCATTATAGATAGGCAGTCGCTCCTCCTCGTGGGCTCCTTCATCTTGTAGATCTTGCGGAACAACCCATAAGTAGGCTGAATATTAAGCCTCTTACACACGAGGCGGAGGCAGGAAGCGTGCATAATTACCGATGGAGAAAGGCGCCCAACCGAGCATTTGAGACGCCTGTATAAAGCGCACAACAGAGGGTCGATGGGGAACTTAAAGCCCATCACCCAGTACTCGGAGTACACCCCGAACCACCCTGGGGGGCAATTACCAACCATGCTCCGCTTAGAAGGTACCGCGTACTCCCAGTTGGGGGGCAAACCCAAGCCGCGGACGATCTCGGTCACGTCATCACGCCCATAGATGGACGCATGATCGGGTCCCTGCAATAAGTTTTCGTGCGGCGCCGGCTGGTCGCCCCACATCTCCGCCCAATCCAGGATGGTGTATACCGCGCCTACACCGTGAGGCGCAAGGCGGCTCATCACCTCGGACACGAGTGTCACACTGACCGGCTCCGACTGAGTCTCAGAGCCCTCGCGCGCATCAGCATCCGCGGCCTCAGACCTACCGGCACGGTCGCGGCGGATTATCAACACGCCACGTGGTCGCGTGCTCGGCTGTCCACTACCGGACGCTACACCATCCGCATCGGGGGAGCTGATAGCGAAATCAGGATCCGAACCGATGCCATCCGATGGCGTCGCCGGAGCCCCCCCGTCACCGGCTCCGCCGTTGCCCCCGTTGTCGGAATTGGCCAGATCCAGCGAGGGATCGGTAGAAACATGCAAAAGAGGCGAAAGATTACCTCCTTCGTCTTGCACCAGCTCGACCTCGTCAATGTTGGTGTTGTCCATGATGGTACTTCGAGTGTGCGTAACAACGACGGGAGAAACAAGGTTGTAGAAGAAGGAGAGGAATCTCAAAGATGAATTGGAATAAGAAAGAGGAGGCAGAACTCGGAGGAAGCAGAATAAATCCCACCCCCAACAACAAGCCAGTATTTATAGTTGTTGGAAGTAAGTCGAAAGGTTAAAGTTGCATTGAGAATCGCAACCGTCAGAGTTTTTCGAATTTCAAAAACCCCCGCCTAGATAGACAAATCATGGGGAGACACGTGGACACCTACCAGATGTAGCTACTAGCCGCTGACGTAACAAGTTCCGCACACCGGCTGGGGGGAATGACACACCCGCAAAGAAGAAAAAAATACTCACAGAATTCAAACGTAAACATGCGCGAGTCGAAGGAGCACACCCAGAAATCAAATCTCAAAACTGAGAGTCGCGCGCAACTATCCCGCAAACTTAATTCCGAGCAACGCACGCAACCTGCCAAGAAAATCTCATGGAGATCATGCACACGCGAATCGAAAAAGCGCGCCCGGAAAAGCGCGAGTCGAAGGAGCACACCCAGAAATCAAATCCCAATCCCGAGATTCGCGCGCAACCATCCAGCAAACGTAATTCCGAACAACGCACGCAACCTACCAAGAAAATCTCACGGAGATCGTGCACACGCGAATCGAAAAAGCGCACCCGGAAAGCAGTCGCAACCCCGATCGTCACGCGCAACCATCTAGGAAAAGATCGCGGAGAACACGAGGGCCAAGCCAGAGCGCGAGCAAACTCAATTCCGAACGTTGCCCGCAACCTGCCATGAAAACCTCGCGGAGACCGCACAGATCCGAGTCAACCTCCAGGAAGTCAAACAGGCGGCATTCACTGAATACCTCCTGGTGGGGGGCAATTGTTGGGCATATGACTCGGGTCTAACCGCGCGAAGAAGCCGATGCCCGCAAGAAAATCTCACGGAGATCGCGCACACGCGAATCGAAAAAGCGCACCCGGAAAGCAGTCGCAACCCCGAACGTCACGCGCAACCATCTAGGAAAAGATCGCGGAGAACACGCGGGCCAAGCCAGAGCGCGAGCAAACTCAATTCCGAACGTTGCACGCAACCTGCCATGAAAACCTCGCGGAGACCGCACAGACCCGAGTCAACCTCCAGGAAGTCAAACAGGCGGCATTCACGGAATACCTCCTGGTGGGGGGCAATTGTTGGCCATATGACTCGGATCTAACCGCGCGAAGAAGCCGAGGCCCGCGCGATGTGAGATCCTAAGCGCGCCCAAGCTACCGCGCACGGACAGGGACGCCAAACACCAAACGATGACGTCTAAAGTCGAGGGTTAACCAGACCAGGAAACTATGGGAAAAGTGACCCTGCGGTTCCCGAGGAGCGGTCACATCACGATCCTAGATAATTCCCCTTTGTCCTAGGTAGAGTCCTACATCCCCTAGCATGTCAGTGGTCATGTCACCTTACCACCATGTAACCACCATGCAACCCACCCACCACCATGTAGCCTATAAATACGGCATTTACTACGGTGGGTAAGGAGATCGCATTTTGGGGACTCTATCTCTACAATTATCAACTTCTCTCTCTAAGACATTATACTCTCAATCTCATTCTCCTGGACCTTCGTTCTCGATCCAACAGTTGATTCTCGTTGCTTGCTCTTCTTAACCCCCCTTTCTCCCCCGAGTCTCACTCCTACACCCAGTTAAGAGTCATACAAAGTACAAAAGTAAACCAGGTAGTACGATTGTTGCCGAACTACCTATGAAAGGGCCGTTAGTGCCACAAAAGGGCAGCCCTATAAGCGGCTAAACCGGGAAAATGGACAAACACATAGACTATAAAAGAGCCGAAATTTCGCAAACAAAAATAACCATGATCTCGAGCAGTCATCTTCTCCATCTCAAGATGTTAGTCTCCAAAAACTCAGGCCACCGGTTGACAGATTACTGAAATTGTCACATGTCCCCTTTCGTCTTGGTTGTAAACCGACCAAGAAGTTCCATGTTTTGGTAACACATGCGCACGTTTCCTCATGCATGTATATGTGTTTGCGAAACCACGAGACAAAACACCACCACACAAGTTGGTTTGGTTGATTAAGAACAACATTATTATTAACCAGTCGTATCTTTTTAATTATACAGGGGGTTGGCGCATCCAATCCTTGAATTCCGCCTTAATTTGGGCCCTAATCTTGGTCACCATATATATGTGGATGTGGTTACCAGTTACCACTTGGTTATTACTTATTAATTGTGTTTAATTTCCTTTTCTAACTAATTTATTTCATTGCTAGTTTAGTTTGTTCCTGCATGCTCAGAAGTCAAAACTCCGTGGTGATGTGAAAGTAAACTCAACTAAGTTAATAGTTCGTCGAATGAGAGGGCGGTTAATCTGTTCTGTGGATGAATAAGTTGCCGAGAGCCCGAGACTAGCTAGCTAGCTAGGGGCAAAAGTCCAAGTACAGAATAAGAGTATGTGAAGACACAAGCCATCACAAGTGACAACTTGATCCGTTTTTCATGGAAATCAAACTATCTCATCCCTTTCTCTAGGAAGTTCCATTATGTAGGGATGGCAATTATACCCATACCCATGGGTATTTTACTATCCAACCCAATTGGGTTGGGTATAAAATCCAAATAGATGGATATGGGTAAAGTTTGATGGGTTTGTACCCATACCCATTTACTTTGGGTTGGGTTGGGTTTATAACAAATGGATTTGGGTTTGTACCCATGCCCAAATACAAATTACAGTTTGGTACCTAAACTTAATAGATATGCATATTTAGTACCTAAATTTAATTTTTTTTTTGCATATAAGTCCTCAAAATATCGATGGAAAATTACATTTTGGTACCTAAGTTTTTTTGGTCTTACATTTTGGTACCTAAATTTTTCAAGTTTTACAAATAAGTCCAATTTTTGCATGTGTAGTTAAGACACCCTCAAGTAAATGGATATCCATATCCAACCCATACCCATTTAGATAATATCCATATCTAACCCAAACCCATATACAAACCCCAAACCCATATACACATCACCCAAATCCTACCCATAATAGATGGATCTACTTGGGTTTGGGCAAAATTACCCATGGGTGGGTAAATTGCCATCCCTACCATTATGAGCATCGCACTACAACAAAAAGCTATTTTACCGACATTCACTTAATGACAGCCACTAGGACCGTCGATAAGTGAGGAGATTGGACGGACAAGTTGGCCGTTGTTTGTGACCGTCGGGGATTGGATCTGTCCATTTAAAATATTAATTAATTGCAAGTCACGATAAAGTAAATGGTGAGGTAAAAAAAAAAAAGATAAAGTAAATGGCACATGGAGGAGACTATGAGAGACGTCAGACGTGTCTCTCTTTTCCATATTTGAATTTTGTTTTTTATGATTCCTCTTGATCAGAACACGTGACTCCTTCTTTCCTTTGTATTTTTCTTTTTTACATTTGTTTTTAGAGTTATGATTTCCTATAATAAAAAACATAAAATATAGGAATTATTCCTCCTGTCTCTCCTTTCCCAGCTTCATATCTAAAAACAAAAGAACTCTCGCACTTTCCCCTTCCTCTACGTCGACGGTGGCCAGAGCCGTCGATCGCAGCTCGCCGTCCTTCCCCGTCGGTCCCCTCTCGCCCCTAGTTCTTCCGCGTTAAGAGTTATGTGTGGAAAAGGGCTTCTGGGTTTCTCTCACTCGTATTGGCATCTTTGTGGAATAGAGCTTTTGGGTTTCTGGTTCTAGAGAAGGAATTGGAATTGGAGCAGAGTTGGAGCAGAACAAGAGCAGAGTTGGAGTGTGTGGGTTTTTGGAGTCTTTGAAATCTCTCATAGAAGGAATTGGAGTGGAGTTGAATTGTGCCTGGACTTCGTCAAGTTTGCAGGCCTTCAAATTTACAGGTATTTTCTTCTTCTCTTTATTTAGCCTTCTGCATTTATGGTATAACTCACTCCCAAATGTTCAAATTCATTTATGAAAGTTGATCCGCCTTGTGTGTGATGTTTGTGAAATGAATCAGAATTTTATATCGTAGTTGTGAAATTGGTGCTAGATTTCTTTCCTTGTGACAAAATTATGATGTGTTGTGACTTTTTACTCTGTTCATGTTTACACAATTTGTTAGGTGTTGTGATTCTTAAAATGGACAAGTCATGGATTAGAATTCCTCGTAATACACCAGAATATGTACAAGGGTTGAATAAATTTTTGGATTTCGCGTTTGAGCGTAACTCTGGCATAGATCATATATTATGCCCTTGTAGAAAGTGTGGTTTTAAGAAGTTGAAGATAAGGGATGAGGTGTTTGCCGACTTGTTACGTAGTCCCTTTCCCATTGAATACACGGTTTGGTATGGTCATGGGGAATCACGTTCAGGAGAATCCGCCCAAAGCTTACCTATTCTAGGAGAGGAGGTGCATGGCAATGAGAATCCAATGTACAACTTGGTAACTGATGCATTTAGGGCTCATGGAGATTATACTTTTGAAGATACTTCCCCTCCGCATGAACCTTTGTTTGAAGATGATATGATGTTAGGCTTGAATGAAGAGTCAAATGTTGAGGCTAAAAGGTTTTGCCAACTTTTGAAAGATGGGGAAGAAGTATTGTATCCAGGATGCAAAAAGTTATCAAAATTATCATTCTTGATAAGACTGTATAACATTAAGTCTTTGTGTAGAATCACTAACAAAGCTATGTCTATGCTTATTGACTTGTTGAGTGATGCTTTCGAGTTTGCAAACATTCCCAAATCAGAATAGGAGGCAAAAAAAGTCATGAGGACTCTTGGACTTTCTTATACTGAGATACATGCTTGTCCTAAGGATTGTATGTTATATTGGGGAAGTGATGCTAATAGGACAAGTTGTAAGGTTTGCGGGAGGTCTAGATACAAGATGATGAAGAATGGTCGAGTTGGTGATAAAAAAAAGAAAGAGCAAGCAGCCAAGATTTTTCGCTATTTCCCCTTAATACCTCGTTTGCAGAGGTTATTTGCTTGTTCCAAGACTGCTGAAAATATGGTTTGGCACTCAAAAGACAAAAAAAAAATGATGGAATAGCAAGGCATCCAAGAGATTCGGAGGCTTGGAAGAACTTTGATGTGAGATATCCTGATTTTGCTTCGGACCCTCGAAATGTGCGACTCGGTCTTGCTAGTGATGGATTCAACCCCAATGGATCATTGGGTAACAATTACAGCATATGGCCCATTGTTCTAATCCCTTATAACAATCCTCCTTGGCTGTGTATGAAGCAAAATAACTTCATTCTTTCCGGTATCATCCCAGGGAAAAAGATGCCAGGAAATGATATAGATGTTTATATGCAACCAATGATTGAAGAGTTGAAGACCTTATGGGAGGAAGGAGTGGAGACTTATGATGCTTCAAAAAATGAAGTGTTCAAGTTGCGTGCAACTCTTATGTGGACAGTTAGTGATTTCCCCGCCCTTGGAAATCTAACTGGGTGGAACATATATAGAGGTTTGGCTTGTCCAACCTGTAATTTTGATGCACGTCCTCTTCGTCTTCCATGTAGTAAAAAATGGTGCTTCATGGGCAGAGTTGTCCGAGGAAGATAAATCCGAGGACTGATTTGTAATGAATGTATAGTTATAGGTTTGATTTGTAATATTTGTTTATTTGTTTGTTTTCATAGAACATGTAGATCTATATATATGTAAATGTAACAAGGATATTGTAACTTTCCTTTTGATGAAATAAAAATGAGCCAGGTGGCGTTTTCTGTTTTACAAGCAAACATGGTATCAGAGCGTGAAACTCACCGTTCTTGATTTTTTTTTACTTTACTCTTTCTTGTTCTTCGAGGGTTTCCAGAGACGAGAACATCTCGTTCGTTCTCTCTGCCTCGTCTTCTCGATTCTTCTTCAATCGATCGATTGATCCAGTTTTGTGTTTCCGTTCCGCTTTCTCTGCTTCGTTTCTCGTTTTTTCGATCTGGTTTTTCCTCCGATCGTTGATTCCATCAGTTCTCTGTTTTGATCAAGATCTCGATCTGCTTCAATGGCGACTTTTGCGATGATTTCCGCTACCTCTGGGCCACCTCCCATCGCTGGCACAGCTTCTGGTAGTACGTCTTCCGCCACCGCCACCGCTGATTCAGGCAGCGCGATTCCGACCGCCGCAACTCTCTCGCCGGCGCATCCTTTCTACATCGCCAACGGCGATCTTCCCTCCCTTCAGCTTGTCACTATGCCGTTGACTGGAGCGAACTACCACTCCTGGGCGCGTTCCATGCGCATGAGTCTCCATGCCAGAAACAAGCTTCGGCTGATCGATCCTAGCGCGTCGGTTCCGTTACAGGATGATCCGTTGTGGACGGCCTGGGATCAAGCGAACATGCTGGTGCTTGGATGGCTGCAGCGATCAGTTTCTCAAGAAATCGCCCACAGTGTGCTCTGGTTTGACACCGCCGTTGAGGCTTGGGAAGACTTGCGGGAGAGGTTCAGTGAAGGCAACGAGGTTCGTATCTCTGACCTCTATGATGAGATAGCCGCACTCAAGCAAGGTTCTCAGACTGTTACTGCATATTTCACTCGTTTTCGCGTTCTTTGGGAGGAACTGTTAATCTTGAGGCCTCTTCCTTCCTGCACTTGCAATCCACGTTGTGCGTGCTCTGCGGCATCTGTCCCTAGAGAGTATATGCGTCGAGATCAGTTGATTCGTTTTCTCAAAGGATTGAATGAGAATTTCTCCGGTGTGAGATCTCAGTTCCTGTTGATGGATCCTCTTCCCTCTATCAATAGAGTCTTTTCTGGACTAGTTCAACAGGAACGGCAGAATATTCCTTCTCTGCCACCAGTTGCTCTTGCTGCTCAGGGTAATGCTGCTCCTAATCAGGCTAATGCAGCTCAGAGCCATGGTGGAGGTCGCAAACGACCATTGTGCACACATTGTGGCATCTATGGCCATACTATTGACCGATGCTACAAGGTCCATGGGTATCCCCCTGGTTACAAGAGCCGCCGTTCAGCTCATGCTGTCACCACTGAGTCTGCTTCTCCTGTTAGTGCTGGTGATATCCCTGTTGGTGCTGGTGATGAATCTGTGACTATTTCAAGGGCTCAATATCAGTCTCTGCTCAACCAGTCTCAGCCACGGATTCAGCAGGCTTCAACACCAATTGCAAATCTGGTCACTACTACTCAGACTGCTCCTATGTTCTCTTCAGATGCCTCTGGTTCGGGAACTCTTCCTGTTCATCAGACTACTCCAGTCATTGCCTCGGAAGATACAGGTTTCATTCTATCCTCTTCCTTTACTCCCTTAACTTCGATGATGTGGATAGTTGACAGTGGTGCTACTGATCATGTAGTGTCAGTATCACATTTGTTTGATTCTTTTAAAGCGATTGATCACATGAATGTTGCCCTTCCAAATGGGATTAAGGTTAAAGTCACACATATGGGAAATATCAAAGTTACTCCAACTTTAACTCTATATGATGTGCTATACATACCTGCTTTTACATTCAATTTGATTTCTGTTTCTAAATTAGTTCAGAAATCAAATTGTGCTGTTTCTTTTGCTGCTGATTCCTGTTTTATACAGGATCTTTCGTCCCAAAAGCAGATTGGTACTGCTAAACTCCAATCAGGACTATATCATCTTCATATTCCATCAACAGCATTTCCAAAATCATCTCCTCCATCTTGTAATGCCTGCTTCAATTCATCCCTTACTCCTTTTGATATCTGGCATTACCGACTAGGGCATACTGCTTTTCCTATTTCAGAATTGTTAGATACTACTGTGAAATCTTCTATTAGTTCTAATAAAAATCCTTGTATGGTTTGCCCATTGGCCAAACAGAAACGACTACCATTTCCCATTAGTCATTCTCATTCTTCTACATTGTTTGAACTATTGCATCTTGACATCTGGGGTCCTTTTCAAACCCCTACTATTGACGGTTACAAGTATTTTCTTACTTGTGTCGATGATCATTCTAGACATACATGGATTTATCTACTTAAGACCAAAAGTGAAGTGAGAAATATTCTTTTAAATCTGCCAGCCTTTGTTAGTACTCAATTTTCATCCAAAATTAAGATAATACGAACTGATAATGGCCAAGAGTTTAATATTCCTTCTTTTTATGAAACATTTGGTATAATTCACCAAACTACTTGTGTTGCAACTTCACAACAGAATGGTAGAATCGAACGTAAACATCAACACATCTTAGCCGTTGCACGGTCTCTTATGTTTCAAGCTTCACTTCCTATTTCATTTTGGGGTTTTGCTGTACTGCACTCTGTTTTTCTCATTAACAGATTACCTACTCCAATCTTACAGAATAGATCTCCTTTTGAAATTCTGTACAATTCCAAACCTTCTTACTTAGACATTAAGGTTTTTGGGTGCCTTGTATTTGCTTCTACTCTTCAGCACAACAGATCTAAATTTGCACCAAGGGCTGATCCCTCTGTTTTCCTAGGATATCATCCTTCTGTCAAAGGGTCTAGGTTATACAATCTGATTACACATCAGATTTTCTACTCACGTGATACTGTTTTCCATGAACACGTTTTTCCATTTTTTAAAATGAATGATAAACTGGACTTTGATGTTTGTTTTCCTAACATCCAAGTTCCAGATTCTGTTTGTACTCCAAATCCACAACCTAACTCTATTGATCCTGCTTCTTCTGTACCTCCTGAAGAGCCTGAAACTGACATTGTAGATATTATTCAAGCGGTTGAACCGCCTCCTAATATTCGTCCCTCTAGACTCAAGGTACGACCTCAAAAACTTAAGGATTTTGTGTGTGATTTCCCTTCTGCTTCTTCTTCTGTTTCTTTTCCAATTTCAAAAGTGATGTGTTTTGATAATCTAAGTGCTGAATATCAAAAGTACATACTTGCCACATCTGAAATTGTTGAACCACGTACTTATAAAGAAGCTATAAAAGATCCTCGTTGGGTTGAGGCTTGTAATACTGAATTGGCAGCCCTAGACAGAACCAAAACTTGGACTGTTGTTGAACTTCCTGCTGGAAAAATTCCTATTGGTAACATGTGGGTGTTCAAAATAAAGTTTCTTGCTTCGGGTGCCATCGAACGTTTTAGATCTCGCCTAGTGGCCAAGGGTTATACTCAAACCCCAGGTTTAGATTACTTAGACACCTTTGCTCCGGTTGTGAAACATACTACAGTACGTGTAGTTCTTTCATTAGCTGCTATTAATGGTTGGTTCTTGCATCAATTAGATGTTAATACAGCTTTTCTTCATGGTGATTTAGATGAAGAAGTATACATGAAAATTCCACCAGGTTTGGTTGTTCCTTCTCACTTTAAAAATCCAGTTTGTCGTCTTAATAAATCACTTTACGGTTTAAAACAAGCTAGTCGTCAATGGAATATCAAATTAACATCATTTCTTACTTCTGCTGGTTACAAACAGTCCAAAGCAGATTATTCTATGTTTGTTAGAAGTGTAGATTCTTCGTTCACTGTTGCGTTAGTGTATGTCGATGACATTATTTTAGCTGGAAATGACTTGAATGCTATATCTGACATTAAACTCAAACTTGATCAGACTTTCACTATTAAGGACTTAGGTGAATTAAAGTACTTTCTTGGTCTTGAGATTGCTAGATCTTCTAAAGGAATTATGCTGTGTCAACGCAAATTTGCTTTGGATCTCTTAACAGACACTGGTTTTTTGAGTGCAGAACCGGCTGATTCACCTACTGTTCCTGGTCCTAAGTTGTCTGCTAAATCGGGTAATCTCCTTCCTGACCCTTCCTCTTACAAGAGATTAATTGGTCGACTTTTATACCTGTGTAATACACGACCAGACCTTGCATATGCAGTACATC